GTGCATCCCCCAAATTCTAACAGGGTGGAAAAAGGAAGGAGACTGGATTGTGGTGTGACCATGGCCCATTGTGGGGTGCTTTCTCTTTCTCTCTCTCTCTCTCTTTGTGTTGTTCTCTTGCTCTGGCAAGCACAGATATTTTCTGGCCAAAACAAAAACAAAAACAAAAACCAGAGATGGAAAAAGTGGGAGGCCATCAGTTTGTGTGTGCTTTTTTCTTGTTAATTATGTTTTAATTGCCAGAGGCATGTTTTCTCACCAGAGAAAGAGAAACAGGAAGAGGCCAGCAGGTGGCATGGTGGTTGGGTGCTAGACTCCCACATGGCCTGCCGTAGTTCAAGTCCTGGACCAGGTAGCTTGGTTTTTCACTTTTCCTCTCTCTCTGTCTGTCTCTTGTGAGTACATAAGCTCTATAGCAAACTTAAAATAATAATAATAAGATTAAATAAATAATTCTTTAAAAAGAAGAGAGAGAGAGAACGCATCCTCCCTGGGACGTGTTTGCCCACAACCCCTTCACTTCTCCATCCTGTTGGGATTGTGAGTTTGCACACTCATATCCCCAGAATGTTTTTCAAGGCTCTGGGGCCAGGATTTGAACTGTGTGAGTGACCATGTGGGATCCACGTTGCTTAACCTCTGGTCCATAGTACCAACTCAAAGTGTGCTTTTTTTCCTTTCCTTTTCTTTTTTTTTTTTTTTAAGAACAGAATTCAGACAGGTTTGTTTGTTTGTTTGTTTTTTCCGAATCCCAGCCTTCTTCTTAAATTCTGTGCAGAACTGAGAAAGTTACTGAATATCTCTGGGCTTTGCTATCTCAAGGTAAAGGGGGAGACGTGCCCTTCCTCCTTTCAGGATTTTTAGCATGCACACACATGTATCTGGCATATTTTTCAAGTCACTGGATCCAGGAACCACACGGTCAGCCGCGTGGGATCCTGTCACCTTAACTATCCTGTCACCAGCTGGCTCCTATGTTCCTGAATGGGATGGTTATTGCATGGGTGTGAACAGGAAGAGAACTTCATCCAGATGTATACTCGAGATTTGAACAGTTTACTGCATGTAAATCATTCCCAAACAAAAAATTAAATATAAAAACTTGCTCCTGGGTTTTGACCTGCGGGCAACTTCTCATTGGCTTAAGACTCCCACACCCTATGCTTAGGTATAGTAATAGTCAGAAAAAGAGCTGACTTTTCTAGGGCTCGCCACTTCGAGCTAGGCTGCGGCTGGTCCTTATTGCCCTGGGCAGCTCAGGGACAAGGGAGATGCCAAGATGCAAAGTGAGTTTTCGACTCACAGGAAGGGACTCGCTGGAAGGAAAAGGGAAGTTGTATGGAAAGCACCTGGCACTGGGTGGGGACTTGTGCGTGTTCCTCAGGGCTTTCTGATTTGTGCCTCCTTCAACTCCAGTCCTTTCACATCTATCTCCTCTGGAGCCCCAGGCTAGTGTGCCTCTGCCGGGAAGCTTTCCCTGGATGCTTTATCTCACACGGCACCCAACTCTGCTTCTCCTCCTCCTGCTCCATTTGATTCATAATCACTATCTGAAATGATCTCGTTGTATTAGGTGTTTGGAAAAATCATGACGCACTTTTCTGATTTTCGATGCGAAAATGCGTCACGACTTTTCCGACAATCTAATATTTACTGACTTGTCCTTGATTCTATTTTAACTGCAAACTCCTAAAGAGCAAGGACTATCTGTCCTGTGTGCTCTAATAACCCTGGACTTAGTGCCATCTGAAAGCCATAGTAAGCCCTGTATCTATTTTTTTTTTTTTTTTGGAGAGGTTTTTGCTATAGGGTGCGTGTGCTCTCCAGAAAGACAGAAAGAGACAGAGAAACAAAAAGCGAGAAATCACCCCCCCCCCCCGCCCCAGGGGGCAGGCCACATCCCTTCTCCTCTTGGGATCTTGGGCACGCACGCACATGCGCCCGGCGTGAGTTTAAGCCACTGGGCCCGGGACTTGAACTGCAGTTGCCCACATAGGAGTCCAGCTACATAGCCATTATGCCAACTGCTGGTCTCAAGCCCTGTATCAATATCAATGGCATCAGACTGGTTCTGTGGCCTGGTGGTTAATGTGGCTGGATCCTACATGGCCAACTGCCCAGTCCAGTCCAGCAGTTTGAGAAACACATTGAATGCATGTATGTGCCCAGAATCCTGAAAGGGGGGCCAGTAGGTGTTGTAGTGGTTAAGGCACTGGACTCCCACCTGGCTGACTATAGTTCAAGTCCCAGATCTAGCAGCTTGCTTTCTCACTTTCCTTTTCTCTCTAGTCAAATTAAATAATAATAATACTAAATGAAATAAAATAAATAATTATTTTTAAAAAATATCCTGAAGGAAGGAGAAATGGAAGAGAAGGGGTTGCAACACGACCATGCCAGTCTCTCTCTCTCTCTTTGGCAAGCACATGTGCCCTGGAGCAAATTAAAGAATAGGCAAGTGCCCAAGCTCCTGATGAGCTGGAGGGCTGGGGAAAGAAATAGCAGAAACAAAGCAAACTGAAATGAACTCTCTCCTCCTCTCTCTCTCTCTTCCTGGTTAGCTCATGTTAGCTGGCAATATTAAAAAAAAAAAAAAATTGATGGCATCAGTAGATGGTTAGCTGTTAATAAAATGGTTTTGGGGTCTGACAGGTGGCATGGTGGTTAAGGGCGCTGGATTCCCACATGGCTGACAGCGGTTCGAGTCCCAGACCTGGTAGCTTGCTTTCTCACTTTTCCTCTCTCTCTCTCACTCTGTCCCTCTTTGGCCAAATTTAAATAAATAAATAAATGAAGTTCAATAAAATAATTCTTTCAAAATAACAACAACAATAATAATAAAAACTGGGCATTTACTGATGTTGTTGAGTTAAAGGGGGAGAGAGTGGTTTTGAGAAAGCATGTAGAGGAGGCTGAGGAATGGCAGAGGAGGCTGGAGTGGGAGGGAGGAACCCAAGGCTGGCGAGAATGAAAACAAAGTCAGCAAGATTAGCTGGTGGTAGTGAAGACTGAGGTTGATTGGAAATGTCAAAACTCAGTGGAAAGTTTCAGATCAACAGAAACAGGAATCAGAAAGTTCTGAGGCCCGGAAGCCCAGATCTTACTAGGTCTCCTTCTCACCTCTCCAGGTTGAGGTCAGGGCCTGCTCTCTTGTCCCTGCTGCTATTGGGACCCCCCAGTTCCCTTGGGCGGCAAAGGGTGGAGAGAGTCAGAGTGATAGAGGGAGAGGAGAGAGCAACCTCTATGAGGATGTGCATGCCACTGCCTTCTCTTCCATCCCATCTCCCTTCTGGGATTTTGGGTATACATGGACATGCACCCAGCGTGTTTCTCAAGTCCCTGAAATTTCCATTCGCTCTTCCCTCTCTCCAGTAGCATCTATCCTCTGTGAAGTTGGCATCCAACAGGGCTCAGATGATCTTCACTTTGGCCTTTTTTTTTAATCTAATTCTGCTCTTCCTTTCTTTCTTTTTTTCCTTATTTTTAAAAAATTATTTAATTTCTATTATTTAATTGCATTCATTATTATTATTTTAAACTTCACCAGAGAGAAAGAAAAGGAAAGTGAGAAAGCAAGTCACCAGACCTGGGACTCGAACAGCAGTCGGCCATGTGGGAGTCCAATATCTTAACCATCACACCACCTGATGGCCCTTCCTTTCTTTCTTTTTAATTTGCTACAGGGAATGTGTGCTCATAAGAGACAGAGAAACAGAGAGGGAAAGTTGAGAAAGGCTCCATCAGGGGAGATGGCCACACTGTCATCCCTTCTCCTCCATTCTCCTCTCAGGATTTTTGGGCATGCACACACACACACCTGGCATGTTTTCCAAAGCTGGGGTCCAAGACTCAAAACACAGTGGCCATGTGGGATCCAGCTGCCTCTGGCTGGCCCCAATCCCATCATTTCTAACAATAACAATACCTTGATCACAGTAAAGTTCTCAGTACACATTACTATGCTATAATCTTTTCTGCCATTGTCATAATTGATCTATGACACAGGTAAGGAATGTAATACCCAGAGAGGCTAAGTAACTCTTCCAAGGCTACCTAGCTGGGGTTTTCCAGTCTGCACCTTCATCTCTGTTCTCAAGGACACAGAATGAATTCATCGCTTCTCACTCAGATTTTTTCATCATCTTAGTAAGCTTCTTTCCATCTGTCTCTTCTCACACCTCTCCATCCTCCTCACTTAGTGACAGTGGACTTCCTAAAAAAAAAATTTTTTTTAAAGATTTTTGCCACAGGATGCTTGCACTCACCAGAGAGAGAGAGTATGTGTGTGAGGGAAAGTGAGTAATTGTGCCTCTCCCCAGAGGTATGGCCATGCAGCAATCCCTCCCCCATTCTCCTAGGGATTATGGGCATGCTTTTCAAGCTGCCAGGGCTTGGACTTCAACTGGGGTTGGCCATGTGAAAATCCACTGCCTTAACTACCATATCACTTGCTGGCCCCCAAAAAAATTTTTCTTAAAAAAAAAAAAAAAATTACTGGGACCAGCAGATGGTGTTAACAGTTACGTGGCTGGACTCCCACATAGTCAACCATGGTTCTAGTCTGGGACACAGCAGCTTAAAACTCACGCAGGACATGTGTGCACGCATGGCCAAAATCTCAAGAGGAAGAGAAGAAAGGACTGTGGCATGACCAACTCCCCTGGGTGTGTGTGTGTGTGATTTCTTGCTTTCTGTCTGTCTCTGTCTCTCTCTCTGTCTCTTTGGGAAGCACTGGCACCCTACAGCAAAAATCTCTCTCTCTAAAAAAAAAAAATAGGGCCAGCAGATGGCATAATGGTTTTGTTGTTGGACTCCCATGTAGTTGACTGCAGTTTAAGTCCTAGACCCAGTGGCTTAAACCTTGGTGACTTCTCACTTCCTGTCTCTCTGGCAAGTGCATGGGCCCTATAGCAAGAAAAATTCTCTCTCTCTCTGTTCAGCCTCAGCCCGTGCACTGCCATTGCCATCATGCTAGGTGCCACTCTCCGCTGGTTGTCCCCATGACCTTAGCTACCCAGGTCCGCCCTCAGCCTCCTGCACTGCACCCGGGGCCCCCTGGACCCGCCGCTATCCAGGCAGGTCACTGCTGCTCCCATGGGTCACATGAAACCAAGGAAGAATTTGATGCTCGCTGGGTGACGTACTTCAACAAGCCACACGTAGATGCCTGGGAATTGCGTAAAGGGATGAACGCGCTGGTTAGCTATGATCTGGTTCCAGAACCCCAAATCACTGATGCTGCCTTGCGGGCATGCAGACGGTTAAATGATTTTGCCAGTACAGTTCGCATCCTAGAGGTTGTTAAGGACAAAGCAGGACCACACACTGCAGAGTGTCATGTTACCACCGTGTGACCAACTGGCTTCCTCCAAGAGACCTCTTGAATGGCGTGAGTGGACATTCTTGGTGTACCACCTAGATGTCCAGGCAACCCATGAACTGTCTGTGTCCATCACTCCTCTGGCTTCTCTGTGTGTTTGCTTCCTGTAGCTTATATCCGGGCCCTCTTTAGAGGACTGTCCTTGGTCTCCTGCACTGCTCTGCCTCATTAAAAGCATGGAGTGTGCTGGAGTATACAGCCCAGTACTTGCCCTGAGTAGAAATACACGGGAGATATCATTTATACTCCAGAACTCCCCTGCAAGACCAGGCTGGGGCTCAGACCTGCCTAAAATCTCTCTTCTCTTAGCTCCTTCTCCTTTTCTATTTTGCTTCCCTTTACTCCCTTGACAATTTCTCCTGGGAGCCTTTCCTTGGTAAATCATATACAAACTCACCCTTGTTTTAGCTCTGCTTCTGGAAATCTGCTCAAGGACATCAGGTCTTAGGACACTTAGATTGATCTACAAGGCTCTCAGGAATCTGGCTTGACCTCTCGGTCTCATGATGCTTGTCCTCCGTGAATGGACTATGCATGTGTTAGCCTTATGGGTTGCTGGCAGAAGAGGGACTTGACTATTCAGTGGGTCGTCACAATGTAGACCAACCAGAAACGCAAAGCATAGGGAGGGATCTAATCTGAGTGTTAGGGAAAAGCAAGTGGGAAGAATGAACCAGAGACAGAAGGATATGAAGATTCTAGTACATGTTTATGGCAGAAACATCAGAACTTCAAATACAGTAAAGTCATTTGTAATTCTACTGTCTAAGGACAATTACGATGAATATTATGGATACATTATTGTATCCCTATTAGTAAGCTATTGCTGCACAATAGGTTATCTACAAACTTAGAGATTTAAAACAGCAATAAACATTGATTAGTTCACAGTTTTTCTGTGGGTCAGCAATCTAGGAGCTTAGCTGAGTGGTTTAGGCTTAGGATCTGATGAAGTTGCAATTTAAGACATTGGTTGGACCATTTCACTGAGATTGAAGATTTGACAGGAATGAAGAATCAATCAATCTTTCTCTCTTTTTAATTTACCAGAGGGTGCATGCCTTTGCCAGAGAGAGACAGAGAGAGAGAGTGAAAAAGCACCTCTCATGGGAAATGGTCACACTGTAATCCCTTCTCCTTCATTTCTCTCTCCTTTCAGGATTTTGGATACACATTTGCACAAGCCTGATGTGTCTTCAAGCTGCCAGGTCCAGGACTTGAACCGCACAATCAACCATGTGGGATCTAGCTGCTTTAGCCACCAGGCTACCTTGCTGGCCCATTTTTCTTTTTTAAGTTTTATGTATTTGTGGGACTAGCAGTTAGCATAATGGCTATGTCTCTGAACTCCCATGTAGTCGACCGCGGTTCGCGTCCCGGACCCAGTGGCTTAAACTCATGCTGGGTGCATGTGCGTGCGTGCCCAAGATCCCAAGAGGAGAATGGAGGAGAAGGGATTGTACCATGGCCATCCCCCAGGGGGTGATTTCTTGCTTTCTGTATCTCTGTCTTTCTGGCGAGTGCACATGCCCTATAGCAAAAAAAAAAACTCTCCAAAAAAAAAAAAAAGTTTTATGTATTTGTTATTTATGATAGAGAATGAGTGTGCACATGTGCATGAGAGAGAGGGGGAGGCACCTTTAACAGGGTCTCATGATACTGCAATCTCCTTCCTCAGCCTTCCAGAATTGGTGCACACAAATGCACACCCATTGTGTTTCAGGTTCACCTACCTGGGGGTCTGAACCTGTGATGGATCATATGGTTGCTAGCACTTATGTTAGTACCTTACCAACTGCACCACTGAGGCTGGGCCAAGGATCCTCCTTTAAGATGGTGGACTTACATGGCTGTTGACAGGACCCCTCGATGTCTTATCACATGCCTGACACCATAGGGCTGCTTGAGTGTCCTTCTGATAGGGCTGCTTACTTCTCCCAAACTGAGTGATCCAAGAAAGAGCAAGGTAAAAACCACAATGTCTTTTTGTTTTATTTTATTTATTTATTTTTAGGCTTTTGCTCTAGGACACTTGCACTCACTAGAGAGAGACAGAGCGAGAGAAAGTGAGAAGCCCCCCCTGCTGGGGGTGGAGTGGGGGATGGCCATGCTGCAATTCCTTCTCCTCCATTCTCCTCTCAATATATTTGGGCAGGCATGCACACACACCTGGTGTGAATTTCAAACTGCCAGGCCTGGGACTTGAACCATGGTCACCTATGTGAGAGTCTAGCACCTTAGCCACCATGCCACCTGCTGATCCCCAAACCATGATTTCATTTATAACTTTGCCTTAGAAGTCGGGATCAGCAGTTAGTGTAATGGCTATGTTGCTGAACTCCCATGTAGTTGACTGTGGTTCGAGTCCCCAACCTTGTTGCTTAAACTCACGCCAGGAGCATGTGTGTGTGTGCCCAAGATCCCAAGAGAAGAATGGAGAAGAAGGGATTGCGGCGTGGCCATCCCCCCAGGGGATCATTTCTCGCTTTCTGTCTCTCCGTCTCTCTCTGTTTTTCCGGTGAGCGCACGCGCACTATAGCAAAAACGTCTCCAAAAAAAAAAAAAAAATGAAGTCATATACTGTCATTTCTGCAATAATCTCTGATACATAGGTCAGCCCTATTCATCGTGGGAGGGAACTATACACGTGTGAATACTAGAGGGGAAGGATCATTGGGAGCATTTTGGAGACTGGCTGTCACAATCCCCTCCTACGCATTTCTTATTTATACTACATACTGCCTTTTGTAGGAAACAATGCTGGTTGCCCACCCAGCTGCCATTCTTTCTTTCTGGTTAACAAAGTGTCAAGTCATTCAAGTTTTATTATTCCGAATGCTTAGTGACAGACAACAGAATCTACTGTAGCAGAAAGTAATGCATACTGCTAACAGAATTGACCGGGCTGGAGAAACACAATCTAGGAGAGGTAGTAGTGGACAAACTAGAACCTTTAGGCTCACTGTCAATTTTTATAAATAAAGTTTTATTGGAACTCAGCTACACCCATTCATTTACACTGTTGATGACTCTGCCTTCACACTACATGGCAGAGTTGAATAGTGTGACAGAGACCATACAGCCCACAAAGCCTAAACTGTTTACTACTACCTGGCCCTTTAAGAAAGTCAGAATGGTGTAGCCATTATGAAAAAGAGTATGGAGGCTCCTACAATTTTTAAACAGTGGAAAATCTAAAAATCTCACTTCTGGGTATGTATTCAAAGAATTCAAAGCAGGATTTTTTTTTTAATTTAAATTAAATTTTTTTAATTTTTATTTTTAGAGATTTTTGCTATTGGGTGCATATACTCACCAGAGAGAAAGAAAGAGACAGAAAGTGAGAAATCAACCCTTAGGGGGTATGACCATGCCACAATCCTTTCTCCTTCATTCTCCTCTTGGGATTTAAGACACGCACACATACACTCCCAATGTGAGTTTCAAGCTGCAGGGTCTAGGACTTGAACCTCAGTCAGCCATATAAGAGTTCAGCACCTCACCCACCAAGCCATCTGTTGGCTTCTCAAAGCAGGATCTTCAATAGATATTTGTATACTTATGTTCATTGTAGCATTAATCATAATAACCAAGAAAATAATACCCAAATGACCCTCCAGTAATGAACGTATTAAAAAAAAATGTGATATATACACACAGTGGAATATTATGCAGCCTTAAAATAGAAAGAAATTGTCACATATTATAACATGCATGAAGCTTAAGGCTATCATGTTAAGTCAGTCACAAAAACCCAATACTGTATGAATGGATTCCATTCACATGATGTATCTAAAATAGTCCAAATCAAAGAAACAGAAAGTTGAAAGGTTGTTCCCAAGGGCTGTGGAGGGAGAATGGGAGAAATTAGTGGTAATTGGTGTCGAGTTTCAGTTTTGTTAAAACATTTTCTTTTTTAGTTTGCTATAGGATGCGAATGCTTGCCAGAGAAAGACAGGAAGAGAGAGGGAAACTGAGAAATCACTTCCCAAGGGGATTGGCCACACCTCAATCCTTTTTCCTTCATTCTCCTCTTGGGACTTTGGACACGTGTGAACAAGTGCCTGGCATAATTTTTTTTTTTTTTTTGGAGAGATTTTGGCTATAGGGCGCGTGCGCTCGCCAGACAGACAGAGAGAGACATAGAGACAGAAAGCGAGAAATCACCCCCCAGGGGGGATGGTCACGCCGCAATCCCTTCTCCTCCATTCTCCTCTCGGGATCTTGGGCACGCACGCACATGCGCCCGGCATGAGTTTTAAGCCACCGGGTCCGGGATGCGAACAGGGGTTGACTACGTGGGAGTCCAGCGACATAGCCATTACGCTAACTGCTGGTTCCCTATAATTTTTGAACTGGTGGGCCCAGGACTCAAACTGTGTAGTTGGTCATGTGGGATCCAGCTGCCTTAACCTCCACAGCATCTGCTGATTCTGTAAATAATTTTTTTATTAACACAAACCATGCATGATCATTCATGTCTATACATTTTTGCGCACATCTTAGGTTGAATTTCTAGGAGAAGACTGATAAAGTAAAAAGATAAACATTCTTTAAGTTTTACAATATATATTACTAGGATTTCCAGAGAGATTGTACAAGTTGACACTCCCAGCAAGAGTGTGGGATAGTTTCTATTTCCTCACATCATTCCAACAGCGGGCAGTGCACACACCCTCTGGTAAAAAAATCAAAACCAACAAACAATCATATGCAAAAATAGGGCCAGGTCTTACATGGTTGTCAGATTTGGCAACTAAATATACAAGATGTGGGACAGGCTGTGGCATGGTGGCTAAGGCAGCTGAATCTCAAAATTCTCCCTCTCTTTTTTTTTTTGTCTGGTGAGCACATACACCTTAGAGCAAATGATTTCTTTAAAAAGTAAAAAAATTAAAAGATGGTTTTCTTTCTTCTTGTTTATTTGTTCACCACAGGGTATGTGCGCCTGCAGGAGAGAGACAGAGGGAAAGT